TACAAACTGTATGGCCATGGCAGGCTTCTTGCTATCTGTTCTTATAGCTTAAATTAATCCATTTCCATAAATCTATACCTTGCCACATGGCTGGTGGCTTACCAGAGTCTTCACATGCTGTTGGTCATGGCAGCGGCTGCAGTGTCTCTCCGCCTCAGCCTTCCGCTTCCCAGAATTCACCTCTCTCCTTGTCCCGCCTACTTCCTGCCTGGCCACTGGCCAATCAGTGTTTTATTTATTGACCAATCAGAGCAATTTGACATACAGTCCGTCCCACAGCACCAGCTCCATGCTTATAGGACAAACCATGAATGGAGGGCCCTTGCCCGTTCATGAGGGTCCATGCTTTTTGTTCCTCACGGCTCCTCTGTTCAGTAGAAGGGACTAGGCTAGCAAAGGACGGCCTCTCCTCGGCCTGATGTTCATTTAGCAGAAACATACACTTATCGTATGCTCTGATGTCTCGTGTATGACAGATTGACAGCTTTACAGATTGTGTAAGCCTGTGCCCCTGGGAAGGGGGATACAAGGCTTGCCTTTCTACATAGCTTTTTCCTAGTATACTTTGAATCAACTTGCATCAGCAGTTAGAAACCAGGCCATTTCGATATTTCTCTTGATTGTCAAGGTTTGGTGGAATAAGGGTTTTGTTACTGTTCTTTTTTTAATTTTTTTTTAAAGATTTATTTATTATGTATACAGTGTTCTGCCTGCCTGTATGCTTGTAGACCATAGAAGGGCACCAGATCTCCCTACAGATGGTTGTTAGCCACCATGTAGTTGCTGGGAATTGAACTCAGGACCTCTGGAAGAGCAACCAGTGCTCTTAAGCTCTGAGCCATCTCTCCAGCCCCCTTGTTACTGTTCTTTTTTTTTTTTTTTTTTTTTTTGGTTTTTCGAGACAGGGTTTCTCTGTGTAGCTTTGCGCCTTTCCTAGAACTCACTCTGTAGCCCAGGCTGGCCTCGAACTCACAGAGATCCGCCTGCCTCTGCCTCCCAAGTGCTGGGATTACAGGTGTGCGCCACCACTGCCCGGCTTGTTACTGTTCTTTTTAACTTGTTATCATTGTTCTCCTGTCTCAGCTTTGCTGAACAGACAAGAGGAAAAAGGCTTCTAGCCAATGACTGGGCTCTGGATTTAAGATGGAATTGCTGCGTCTGGATTAGTGTAATGGTGAACACCTCCCAGTTACAGAAAAGACTCCTTCTGTGCCAGGAAGTACAGGCCTCCTATGCAGACCTCCTTGTCCTATATGGAGCATCACCTGGAGGGAGCCCTTTGCTCAAACCCCAGAAGCTTTCTCATTTGGTTTTTGACAAGGGCAGCCATCCCTTCCGACATTCAGAGAGCAAAGTGACTTCCTCAAAGACTGTCACCCTGCTAAACTATACTTACTCTTTCAGTTTCATAGACGACGAGATGTACCAACTCCTACATGTACAGCCTTCTGAACAGGTGACTGACTGCCTAAGCTATTACAGTACAAGGAAATGACCTGCCCGCTATGTGATCAAGAACACCAATGCTAAAGGACACAGCACAACCGTTAAAAACCGCCTCAGTGTGCCTTGCGGCCTGGGTCTACATTAGACAGACAGTGTTGTGTCTTGGTGACATGCTTTGGGAACCAGCTTCCTTACCTAAAGAGACGATGAGGAGAAAGGATACATACCTCAGGCATCCTTCTCTCTTGATGTCTTCTCCTTGGAGATGCTTTTTCTTGAGGTTTTATTCTCTTCAGGAATGCGCACATATGGGCACCCCCCACCCCCGTACATCTTGTTCATCCAGTCATTGTTTCTTTCTTTTTTTCTTTCCTTCCTTCCTTCTCCTATTTTTCCCTGCCTTCTTCGCACATTTCTTAAGAGTATTAAGACTCGGGATCCAGATGTGACAAGCGTTGTCTTGAACTCGTGGCGCTTAAGCCAATAATAATTACGTGCCACAATGATTAATCATGGACATGGTGTTCCCAAGGAGAGATACTAAACGTAATGAGAGCATGAAAGTTGTGGATCTTCCTTTTCGGGGAGGTCAGACAGACTCCTGCAAGGAGTCAGCCCAGCCATGAGGGAAAGTGGTCTAGCTGAAGGCAGCGTGTGTGAAGGCCCTGAGGTAGGAGAACGTTGTACTTTATTTTCTCTTACATTATCCAGGCAGTCTATATGTTTCCTAGTCTTGGTGTGAGTATGTTTCTGCCGTGAGAGGCATTCTTCTTTGAGTGATGATATAACAGGTCATTACTTAATGACTAGCAACAGTCTTCAGTAACTTGCATGCTCACACAAATATCTAGGCATTCATTGAGAGGAGACTCAAGGGTGCTTATATCCCATTAGTCAGAACTTAACCCCTTGGGTGAGTCCAGCAGCAAAGGATATAAGAAGGCATAGTCTTTAGCTGAGCAGCTACATTTCCAGCCGAAACTCTAGCAGCATGGAGGAGGAGAAGCAGAAGGTGTTTAAGAATAGACTCTCTTAGGCCGGGCGGTGGTGGCGCACGCCTTTAATCCCAGCACTTGGGAGGCAGAGCCAGGTGGATCTCTGTGAGTTCGAGGCCAGCCTGGGCTACCAAGTTAGCTCCAGGAAAGGCGCAAAGCTACGCAGAGAAACCCTGTCTCGAAAAACCAAAAAAAAAAAAAAAAAAAAAAAAAGAATAGGCTCTCTCATTACATTCCCCAGATTTCTGCCCATCTCCATCCTTACCTGCTCATCAGTTGCCCATCTCCATCCTTGCCTGCCCATCAGTAGCCCATTTATCCTTCAAAACTCACATGGAATGTCATCTTTGAGAAGTCTGTTCCCTGCAAAGAACCAGGCTCTTCCAGCCCCCCTTCTGTGAGCCTGCTCCACCCCAGTACTCAGGACACTGATTGGCAGCCAGATATTTATGTGCCCGAGTCTTCCACTCAGCTGTGAACCTCTTAAAGGCAAGGGCCAGACTTTTCCCACCTCTGTCGCCCCCAGTGTTCAGGAGCAGGGGAGGCTCTGTGAATACTGGTGTAGTTAGGAAAAGCCCCAGAGTGACCGAAGGCCAGCTCCTTCCAAATGGGCATATGTGCCACTGAGGTTCGCTTGTCTGTTTCCTTCCTTGCCCGATGTAACTGCTTCAAAAGAGAAAGCGAATGTGAAAGCCTGGGTTTTGTGGGGAATGGAGGGAAAGGCCCTTCGTGGGTCTTGATCTATGTCTAGATGCTACATCACATCCCGAACCACTCACTGTATCCCGGCGTCCTGCTGACGGACAGGTCCCTTCTCAGCAGGGGCAAAGCACCAGGGCTAGAGTGACCTCAAGTAGTGTTAGTGGCGTTGCTAACCCTGAGCTGTAAAACAAGCCTGAGACCGTAAGAAAGGCCAGAGCAGTTGCTTAACTCATCGATAGTGTGGAATAATTATATCCATAAAATGAAAAAAAAAAACTTAATTATAATTCTTGGCTGCAGCTCCAGAAACCTACTCTATCTAGTTGATGTGGGGTAAGGCCCTTCAGAAAAAGAAAAAGGATCTCTTTCCAAACTTCAAGAAAGGCATGCAGCGTGGCCTCAGGCTGGAATAACATAAAATCCTGTCTATTGGGTCTTCTGTACAACTTTAGCTTCCCCTTCCCTGGGACCCGCTGGGACACATCCCCTTGCAAAGTCTGACTTCCGTTCTATGAGAGACGAGTTTTTAGTTCCTGGAGTGTGTTAGTTTATCCAATGTCTGATGTTGTCTCTGTTGGAAGCGCAAGTCACAGCGACTTCCCTCCAGTCCCAAAGTCTCCCAGATGCAGGTTGGAATGGCGCTGGAATGGTGTGCATCCCAGGACCATCCACTGAATGAGGTCTCTGGGACCTCGTTTCCTTATGGTTGCTGAGGTTAGAGAAGGGGTGTCCACCACCACCTACCCCAAAACTCTAGTAACATGACATCATGGCGAGAATGTAGAATCTCAGTGTTGTTGCCTGGTAACCGTATGACCTTAAGTTTCCTGACCATCTGTTTCCTTGGCTGTAAAAGAAAGAGAGAGAGAGAGAGAGAGAGAGAGAGAGAGAGAGAGGGAGGGAGGGAGGGAGGGAGGGAGG